CAAACACTAGGGTTCTCAGCGCTAAATACATAACCATGAAAAAGAAATCTGGTCCTAAAAATTAAAAGTGTCAAGTGTGTGTTTAAAGTGTTTCATATTTATAACCATCATTTTAGCATAACATGATTTATATTTTATATTGAGTGTGTGCTTGCTTCTTCCCAGAACTGTGCAGGCGTTCTGTATCTTCTCTCATTTGGTCTCTGCCATCATTCCTCAGAGGCCTGTTTAACTGATAAAGACCTGGGGACCAATTAGAGACATGAAACAACCTGCTCCCTGTCACAGAGCTAGTGACAGAGCAGGGATTCAGACTCGTATGAGTCTTTATTCTAAACCCATCTTTTCCCACCCTGCCATCCTGTCTCGATTCTCAGCCAGGCAGCTGAAGACCATTGCTCAGAGCAACCTAAAGCAGTGTTTCCCCATCTGGTCGTACATGCTAAGTCTAAAAATTCTTCTTAAAAAAACTTGTCCCATGGATGTAGGATAAATGCAATTTACTCATTTAAAAAAAAAATAGACTTTTAGATGTGTCTTTTACATAACTTTGGGGGGGAACTAAGGGAAAGAAAGGAAAAGTTAGAATACAAAAAATATTCAGAATTTTTATTCAGTCTTTGTTCAACATAGTATGGACCTAGACTAGAGCTAAAACCTTAAAACTTAGTTATAAATATGAAGAACGGAGCAGTCATTTCCCACAGTAATTCTTAGATATGTCTGATGTGTGTACAGAGCCAGTGGATGCAGGGTGCCCTCTTGTGGATTACTAAAGCAGTGCTCCCTTCCAGGAGCCAAGGGCCTTTGTGAAGGACATTTCTAACTAATAGCTGCGCCCTGTTGGGTGTGGCTTGGGTGGGTAGTAGAGAAGTATCAGCTGGAGAGTCAGGATCTCATTGTAGACCATCTCCAGCCCCTTTCTCAGCCTGGAGCTTGTATTTCCTCTGCACTTCCTAACATGATGGGGGGGGGTGGCATATTTTTGTAGAAATCACCTACTGTTCTCCACTTTATTTTTTGGTTCAGAAAAGTGGAGAAAGGATGTCTGGACAGTGTCCATGCTTATTAGCTTTGGTGGTGCTGTTTGGTCTGTTTGGGACTACGACATGGGGCAGTGGTGCTTCACATAGCCAGTACTCTGATGATGAGATGAACTTCCTTATGCCAATGGCTTTCTAAGCTGTATCAGAGTGTAGCTAACCATGACAACCAGAACCAGACTGGGAAGCAAGCAGTCCAAGCTTGATGACGACTGAGCTTTAATAAAATACGTTTAATCTACTGTCTGTTGTGCTGTGAAATGAATGATGACTCACTTTGTGTTACAGAACAAGCTCATCTGAGTATTGGTAACAGGATTGGAGTTTTGTATAATTTGGCCAGAGGGAGAGCTTTTTATTAATTATCCAAATGAAGAGTACTGGATTCTTTCCCATTCCTGAATGCCACCTTTTTCACATAATCCTAAATGCTATTATTCATTCAGCCTGAAGTCTCCCTCTATAGTGGCATCAATTTAATTAGGTTGCAAGAAAAGCTGTATGCAGCCATCCCAACTTAACCCTATTCTTGCCCCAGAAGATGTCTATCAGAGTTGTCAATGTAAAGACTTTGACTCTAGTCACTATAGACAGTGTGTGTGTGTGTGTGAGAGAGAGAGAGAGAGAGAGAGAGAGAGAGAGAGAGAGAGAGAGAGAGAGGGAGAAAGAGAGAGAGAGAGAGTGAGAGAGAGAGAGAATGAGAGAGAGTGTGTGTGTGTGGTATATATATATGTGTGTGTGTGATCTGTGTATGTGTGATATGTGGGTGTGTGTGTGTGTATGTGGGTGTGTGTGTGTGTGTGTGTGTGTGTGTGTGACACCCAGGGGAATATGGGGGTGATTGAACAGGAAGAAAATGCACATTTCCTACACTGTTGGGGTGATCAGTGTTTTATTATTGATTTATAGTCCCTAAACCATTTATTAGATTGTATTTTAGAAGCTCTCCCAGGACAGTTCTAGAAACTTCTTAAATTCACTTATTGAAATCTTATTCTCTAGCAAGGCCTTGTGTTACACTAGTGACACATGTTTTTTCACTTGCCCTACTTGTGAGGATTTGTTGTAAGGGAGTCAGGCTGTGCAGAGGGATTTGTACACAAAGCTTATCACTACAGGATTCTTTATGAGAAAAGTAGAAACTTGAAAAAGTTCAGTAGCCACCACCTCCCATGCATATGCACAATCTCTCTCACACACACTAACAAAAAATGTAGTCTTCCTGCTTCTCCTGCAGCAGATGGGAAGAAATACAGAGAGTGCAGCCAGACATTATGCAAAACACTCAGCTCTGAATGTGATGTCTCCATCAAACCCTTCCCCTCAGAGCTCAGGGGAGGCAGAAAGAGTGTAAGAGGTGGAGGGGACAGAGGACTCCACTTAAACAAGGTCCCTGCATTGACATGAGCAAAGCTCATGTGATCTCACAGAGACCAAAGCAGCAAGCACAGGTCTCTGCATATATATTGTAGCTTTCAGTTTACTGTTTTTATGGGATTCCAGATTGTAGAACTGTGTGGGTCTCTGATTCTTGTCCCGTCTCTTGGGCTCTTTTCCTTCTGTTTGTCTTGTCCAACTCTGATGTGATGATTTTTGTCTTATACTTCATTTTCTTACATTTCGTATTATTCCTTAGAAGCCTGTCTTTTTCTAATGGGAGACAGAAAGGGAGGGGATCCGGATGGGAGGAGGGAACTGGGAAGAGTAGAGAGAGGGAACAGAACCCATAGTCAGGACATACTGTATGGAAAAAGAAAATAGAAAGAAAAAAAATATGATCTTCCTGTGTATTGTATACCACTTTGATTCTTTCTTGTTTAATGTCTTTTTAAGTTTTTAGTGGTTACCTTGAGAATTAAAAGCACCAGAGAGAGAGAGAGAGAGAGAGAGAGAGAGAGAGACTTTAATTTTTAATTGTGCTTGTGTGTGGATGTATGCACAAGTACAAGTGCCCAGGAAGGAGTTAAGGGTGGCTGGAACTAGTTTATCCTATTTTTTAAGGTTTTTGGTTGTTGTTGTTTTGGTTTTGTTTGTTTGACTTTGCAGTAAAATAGCCTGACAGGCAGAGCTTAAGAGTGAAAAGGCTTATTCCAGCTTGCAGTTGCAGTTGCAGTCCCTCATGGCAGGATGCACAGTGGGTTCCAGGGGGCTGGCCACATTTCCTCACTGAGTCAAGAAGCAGAGAAATGACAGCAGCAGGCATCCAGTTTCCTCCCTCCCTCCACCCTTTTCCAGTTCAGGTCTCCTGCACAGGGAATGGTCCTGTCCACTGTAGCTGGCTCTTCCTGCATTGCTTAACTTAGTCAGGACAAGCCCCCACAGGCATACACAAGGACTTAATCTCCTGCATGAGTCTAGTTTTTTTTTTTCAATTAACAGTTAATACTAATCATCATAGAGTTGAAGGCAAAAAGAAAAAAAATGAGAGGACACATTCCACATAGAAAGCAACCAGGAAGGTCAGAGTGGCTGTGCCCTGTCCGACGCATGCTTACGTGACCCATAGAAGAACATTGTATACTAACCAGGAAGGAAGACATGACTACTGTAAGCACACACATCTAACTACAGGTCTGTGGAAGTGTCAGACATGGTGATACGTAACTGGAGAGAGAAAAAGACAATTTCTCTGTAATAGAGATGTTCCGTCACATTCTAGTAATGAGTGGATGGATGCTACTGATGGATAAATGTCATAGTCTGATTCTGGTACTGAACAAATTCGAAAAGTGGGGAGGGGGAGGAGAGAGACAGGCCAAGGTGAGTGAGAAAATAGAGAAGAGTTGACTTGTATAGCGGTAGAGCCAGCACACACACACACACACAAAACTGTTGTTACATGAGCACATGCAGAAGATTCTTGCTTTGTTTTTCAAGACAGGGTTTCTCTGTGTAGCTTTGGAGGCTGTTCCGGAACTCACTCTGTAGACCAGGCTGGCCTCAAACTCACAGAGCTCTGCCTGCCTCTGTCTGCCTCCCGAGTGCTGGGATTAAAGGCGTGTGCCACCACCACCCAGCCATGCAGAAGATTCTTAACAGGCCTGAAGTTGAATGACTCAGTCATTTTTAAATGGTAGGAGTGGACCATGGAGCTGAGGTGCAGAGCTAAATAACTGAAGTCTTTGGTGCCCAAAGAAACTGTGCAATTGTGAAGGTAGAGGGAAGAGATTTTATACTCATTGAAAGGTCACACTGTTTCTAGTAAAGAGCCGTGGCCCCAGAGCTCTTCTCTTTAGAGAGTTTTATTTTTATCTTTTAGAACCCTCCCAGGATATAAACAAATTTATTCCCTGTTCTCTTTCTTGTAGTTAAAAATACCTTTAAAATACTTGAAACTTTCTCATTAGGATTTGAGATGTGTTATTACTATAGTTGCTAATATCTCCTGTCTGACTGATTTAGCTTTTCAGTAGTTTGAAACTAAATTTTTTGTGTATGTGTGCTTCCAATTTCATACTTCTATCATATTGAAGCAACAGAATGAGAAGGAGTAGTTAACAGAAATGAAATCTTAAATCTGATTCGAAATCCAGATGCTTCAGTAGCTTTCTAAAGCCTGTCGAAACTGACCCTTATCCCTTTTCAGTTCTTCACTTCAAAATAAATCTCTCTCCTAGAAAAAACTATGTATAGCAATTAATGAATTTAAAAAGTATGTGTATGTGGGGCTGGAGAAACGTCTCAGCAATTAGGAGCACTGGCTGCCCTTTGAGAGGACCTGGGTTCGATTCCCAGCCCCACATGATGACTCAAGACCACCCTTAACTCCAGTCCCAGGAAAGCCAGTGCTCTTGTAGCCTCTTCCAGCACTGTGCACACCAGGTGTACAGTCAGAGCACAAAAAATAAAGGAAAACTTAAGTGCTTGTGTATTTGAAGTACATGCCAGGAACTCGGGTGTCACAAAGGCAGCCTCTGCAGGTTTCACATGTTCTCATGACTGCTCCCTTTCTTTCAGCTCAATCTGAAATTGAAGCATCAGTCTCTGCCAGGAACATCAGGAGGCTGCTAAGTTTCCAGCGCTATCTCAGATCCTCACGTTTTTTTCGGGGCACCACAGTTTCTAGTTCTCTAAACATTCTAGATGACGATTATAATGGACAAGCCAAGGTTTGTACAACTTCTTGGAAAAGACTTGAGTTGCCTGATAAGTTACTGGAGCCACCTCCCAAAAGTACTGATTTAGATACCTTTTTCCTGTCTGAATTGAGCCAGTCTTTCAGATTTGGGACTGTTTGTTTATAAGTAGGTGTAACAGAGCAAGGAAAATTTCTGCGAAAAGTAGTGAACACATTTGCATTTATTATAACAGTAATGGATCAACGGGACGGTCAACTGTGAGCTGGCCAGAGTTTGTCACTGGGAAGGGTAAGGAGAGATGGCCTGATCTGATGCCTCCATAGACATGGAAGCTGGGGTCTGTACAGCATAAAGGCTAGAGTTCACCCGATGGTTCAAAAGCCCAGGGAGAAGCTTCCATCAACTGAAGCCAGTGTTTGTATGAAGTATTTACTTCACTCTTACAGACATCACAGGAAATTTCTTAAGTAAGATTGAAATGAAATGGGTTTATTTTTATCAAATGGGATTTTATGTGATCTTGAATTTCAATTTATTTGAATTTTTTTTTGCTTTAGTTTTATAAGCCAGATTTTTGAAACTTACGGAGATTGATCCTGCAGTGTCTTCTTTGAAGTGACATTAAAGTTTAAAGAAAAGAGCATTTCCCTGCTTGAGAAGTCAGTGGGAACTGTTGGACCTCTAAAATTTAAACTGTTTATGGACTCCACTGTTTAGGTTAGAATGTTAACCTTTATGTTGAGGACAGCCTGGTCTACATAGGAGTTCCAGGACAGCCAGAGCTACATAGTGAGACCTTGTCTCAAAAGACTAAAACAAATCAAAAACTAGGGACAGCAAATAATTGGATTGTCGTACAGTGTGGGTTCAGTGTGGGAATCCAGGTCTCAGAAGTTGGACTCACCAGTCACCATACCAGCTTTCCACTCTAGCTGAGCAAGCTAGCTACTTTTGCCTGTCTCCCAGGTGTAAGTGAGGATTGGATAAAAACAACAGCTAGTGGGTACTCAGTGACCATTGTAACTCATTGGCAGATTGTTAAAATCTGGTTTGAGAATGTGCAGCATGTGGGCCATATGCTGGTGAATCATTTCAGAATTCTCCTAAGTTTGTAGACCATAGGAACAGGGCAGAAGACTGACCTGACCTATACATAATTAACTGAAAAACAAAACAATTTGTTCTCAAATGCAGTTTATTTCTGTAGACAATTTTTGAGCCAGTTGGAAACGCCTTAACTAAAGGAAGAATGAAAGCCAAGTGTGATGGCATACACCTGCAATCCCAGCACTCAGGAGGCAGGAGCAATACTATGAGCTGTAGACTAGCCTGGGCTGCAGAGCTAAACCCAGCCTTAAAAACCAGAAAATAGCTGGGCAGTGGTGGCACATGCCTTTAGTCCCAGCACTTGGGAGACATAGGCAGGCGGATCTCTGTGAGTTCAAGACCACCCTGGTCTACAAGAGCTAGTTCCAGGACAGCCTCCAAAGCCGAAACCCTGCCTCAAAAAACCAAAAAAAAAAAAAAAACCTAGAAAATAGCTTTTCCCAGGGTGAAAGGAGAAGGGAAACATAAGAAGGGTTGCTGGTGCAGAGCTCCCTTTCTTGCTTTATGGTTATGAAGTACCCAAGATGCTATGAAGTCACCACGGTCTTTAGCCACGCACCAACGGTAGTCTTGTGTGTTGGCCGTTGCACTGTCCTCTGTCAGCCCACAGGCAGGAAAGCGAGGCTGACAGAGGTTGCTCCTTCAGGAGGAAGCAGCACCCATTTAAGATGAGTGGGAACTGCCCCAAACGAACACATTTTGGGTTAATAAAGAATAAAATTAACACAGACAGATTATCCTTGGTGTTTCTCAAAGCAAATAAGCCACTTTTTATTTCTATTAACTTTGCTGTGGACTATCTGCAGAAAAATGCAGGTGTTGCTGAGATTAAATTACAGGAGAAATGTTTGGTTTTCATTGCAGTGTATGCTGGACAAAGTTGGAAATTGGAATTTTGATATCTTTCTGTTTGATAGACTAACTAATGGTAAGTGAAGCATTTGACTTACTCAAGTTACTGTGGTCACTAGACACCTCTGTGTAGTTCATCCTTGCTTTCATTCACTTCGGCTGTGAACCCAGGGCAAGCATTTTGTCCTTGTTAGGTTAGTGACCTTTCAGAAAGCCAACAGAAGTCATTTCACAAGCTTTTGCTTTATCAGTAGTCTTGACAGTAATCAAAAGTCATCTCTGTCATGACCTGGCCAACTGGCAGTTCTTACTGCCCTTTTTAATAACTCAAACTGAATCTCATTGCAGTCTTGATTGTCCCTTTGAAGTTTCTTCAGCATGTAAGTATGTACAGTGCCATTTTGGGACACATTATTCCCACGTAGGGTTACCCCAGAGGCATGGCCGACTGGTTAATCTTTTTCCTGAGTGTGCTGGCCCTCAGGTTTTTTCTCCTGGGGAGGCTCCCTCTGGCCCTGCCTCCCTCCCCATGCTGGAGAAGAGCATGTCACTTAGCTGGGGCACTCAGACTCTGTGGAGAGTAAGAGTGGTTTGGAGAAATTTCTCACAGGTCATTCTACTCTGTCATCTGTCCCCCACTCCCACCCTTACTCCACCCCCAGATTAGCCCAGTTTTATGTGGTATTGGCATTGCCTTTTCTTTTTACTCTCTTTGGGACCCAAAAGTAGATGCTATTTGAAAGCCTTTTTTATTTAGAATAAAATCTTGGTGACACTAGCCATCTTTACCCCTTTTGTCTAAGTAGATTTTTAATAAAATTACACAAATAAGTCAGTTTTTCTGTTGACGAGGATGGACTAAAGTATGTGTTCCCTATTTAACTTTGAAGTTACCTGCTTTTTCTTTTCTTCTAAGAATGTGTGTGTATGCGCGTGCCAGGGTGCACATGAGGCAGTCAGGACAGCTTGCTGACATGGGTTCTCCCCTGTGGGTGACTGGGTGCCAGCTCAGTTTGTTGAGCTTGCACCTTTGCCCACTGAACCATCTCACTGGCCCTGCTTTTCTTACTTCACTTTGGATAACGAAACACGACTTTATGAGCACCGCCACCGTTCTTAGAGTGTCTCTGCTGCTTCCTCTAAGCAGTAGGAGCAGAGAAAAGCCTCTCTACCTCCTCTGCCTGTCTAGCACTGTTGACAGGAGATAGATGAGACTCATGGACAAAGTGGTGAAGACCATGAGGTTTGCTTTTGTCAGCAAAGTGCCATGACATCCTGCCTTTTGTTCTCCATTTCTCTCCCCTTTTGGTGCCCTTGGGTGGGTAGGTGTCCCTGCTGCCCAGCTGGCTGCCCTACTGGAAAGGCAGTTGGCCTTCCTCTAGACCTTGTGGGTTTCTTTCTTTCCCTTTTTTTTAATGCAGTGAATTATTAGATGGCCCACCTCTTTCAAGATTCAGGAAATGCTTCCTTTCTAACCCAACACAAACATGACTTCAGTTATCACAAGATAGAGGCAGATGGAGCAATACCAGCCACAATACTTTTAAAGGCTAGCTGTATAAACTGATAGCTCGTAGCCTGCTTGGGGCTGCTGGGATGCCTGTCATTTGTTGATATAGTTGATTGTTCTTTTCTAAATGTAATTTTAAAAAATATACAGCCTGCTTGTCAGGGGCTTAGGATGAAAGCCAGGGAGGTCAGCCACAATTGCTGTCAGTTGCCATTGTTAACCCCCTTTCCCTAGACCACCCCACTTGAACTTCCTTTTTGGGGAAGGTCCCTGAATGACTCTGCCCAGATGAAAACCACCTATAGTTAGCCACCCACCTTTGCTTTTTTGGGGAAGCTAACAACAGCCCTTTGGAAGCTGTGGAGATAATGTACTTGAAGAAAATTGAACAAATGGGTAGAAAAAAAAATTGTTCTTCAGCTTGCATTATGTAGTCACAATTCCTTTCAGAAATAAAATTCCATATGATTTGTGTCCACCATATCCAGGTTTCCCCTTCTGACTTGATTCAATGGTGCTTTTTATTTCTTACTCTGGCATTCTCTGGGTGGTAAGAGGAGAGGACAGGGAGAAGCAGGCAGAGCAGGGAGGGTTCGCCCCAGGACAGGTGCATTGATTCTCCTTATCTGCTCCCAGGGGGAGAGCAGTTACTGTCTGACTATCCTCCTATAGGGATGCGGATCAGGTGATGAGCCATAGCAAGGCACTGCCTGTTGCTCCTGAGAGCCTCTGGTTTGCAGAGAGTGGTCAGCCTGTGTTATAGCTCAAGTGCTCACGGAGAGTCAATTTCTGTAGAGCATGCGTCACTACACCTTAGCTGGCCTATGTTTTCATTGAGGCATCTTTAAATAGAGTTGTCTTCTTTTCTGTTCTTTTCTTTTCCTTTCTTTTATTTTATTTTTGAGACCTTGAGACAAGGTGAGAGAACTGATTTGCCAAAGTGTTGTTCTCTGACCTTTATACACACAGACACACACACACACACACACACACACTAATAGGCAATGTTATATTTGAAGATTTTCTTCTGACCTCCCCTGCTCCTGCCTCCATGTCTCTCCAGAAGTGTTAGTGTTTACCTGTACTCAGCAGTAAGTTCTGTTGACATTGGCTTAATGAGTTGTTGGTTAATGCTTTGTTAACCCTCCCAAATATTGTAAATTCTTAATGTGAGATTACTTATATCTTTAATGTATTTTAGCAAGAATCATAGACTTCAAAAGATACTATCATGTTGCAATTATCCATGATGCAGTAATTTACAAGATTAATTCCCTTTAAAACAGCCAATTTAACTGTTAATATAGCATATTTGTCCCATAGGTGGAGTCTGCAAAATCCTGAGACATAGAATAGAATATATACAACCTGGAGAGTTTTGTCAGTAAAGGGAAAAGCAAGCATATAAAGATGGGGACTCACACAGCAAGGATGAGCACTGGTGGCGTGTATGGGGGATGGAGAGCCAAGGGAGTGTATGGCATGTCTGAGTGTTTGTGCTCATTTGGGCATCACAGGAAGACATCGATCAATGGTGAAGTGTGTCCGGTGGATCAGGCTCTTTCCTTGAGGAGATAGGGATGAATTAGTGTTTAAGGAAAGGAAACTAAAGGCTTGGGGATTTTGTTTTCCTGTGAGGAAATTCAGAAAGAAATGGGCAATAAGCATGTTAAAAGTTTAAGAAGAATAGCGGTCTTAGAAATAGGTGCTTTTCAAAGTGACCAAGGCAAGATCGCCCGAGCTGCTGCTCATAACCCCCCGCATCATCACAGCTTCATCATGCTAAGCTCTGTCGTACTGTCCGTCCCCCACTAGTTCTGAGATTTTCTGCTCAATTACGGAGAAAGCGAGAGGTTTATCTCAGAGCTTCTATTTTGGGGAACTTGAAGAGGTGACTGTTTCCCACCTAGTAAAAATGTTTCTTTTCCAGTAAAAATAAACACAGTTTCTACCTCGGAGGGTTACAGCCAGAACTGTTTGCTATGGGTCTACTCATTTCTATGAAGTGCTTGTAGAGTTGGATTGGCTTGTTCACTATAGCTCAATTTTCCCATATTCCACTATTGAGTATTATTCTGGTACCTTAAAAAAATTAATGTGAAATTCTTAAAAGTTTTTATTATTCAGTTCTTGTGGAAAACTGAAACTTTTTTTCCTTAGACTGGAATGAAGATGTTAACATGTTAGTTAGAGTGTATAACTGTCAGAGTGAGGAGCTGCAGCCTCTAGTAGAACACAGTGGGCATGGGTGCTGTCTGGCCTTGCACGTCTTACTAACATGGCCTCTCCTCTTTCTTTTCTAGGAAATAGTCTAGTAAGTTTAACCTTTCATTTATTTAGTCTTCATGGATTGATTGAGTACTTCCATTTAGATATGGTGAAACTCCGTCGATTTTTAGGTAAGTGATTCTAACCCACTTAACAATAAGGTTACACAAGAACTTGTGTAGCTGTCAGTCAGCTATAACAAACCATTCAGGATCATACAAGCCTGAAGCTGCAAACCACATAGCAACATTTGGGTCGGTGACAAGCTTGTGTGACAGGCTGTGTATCAGCTAGCCTTGCAGCCACATTCTTTTTTGCATGCTGTCTGCTGCAACAGGCATTGAAATGCCTGGTGACTGGCTGAATTGAGGTGAATCTCTTAGAATGTGAGCAATTTGAGGTGATAGTCACATGGAAAATATATGTGGCTCACCCATAATTACCATGTCAGTACTTGGTTGTCCCTGTTACATAGTAAAACTTTAGTCTTTTTTTTTTTTAATGCAGTTATGATTCAAGAAGATTACCACAGTCAAAATCCTTACCACAATGCAGTCCACGCTGCAGATGTTACTCAGGCCATGCACTGCTACCTAAAGGAACCCAAGGTAAGCAGTGGGTACTGGCTTACGCCAAAGTCCAGAAACACTTTCTTTGGCCTTACGCTTCCATTATGTTAGTGGTTCAGCTCAAATTCAGAAGCTTCCCCTATCAGGGAGGTCAAACCTGACTCATGTGGCTGTAAGTGGAGGAACCAGAGAATGGGGCCCAGAGATCTCAAACCCTGGGCTCTGTTCAGCACACATGTACTTTTGTTTTCAAGTGTCCTCCATGTGAATTTGTTGGACGTGCAAACACAGAGCCTGGGGCTATGGGACATAAGCCTGAGAGGGCTACTCTTCCCCCTGTACTGGAGATATGCAGGCACACTTGAAAACAATGCTTAAACACTGTTCTTCTTGCCTGGGGAGAGGGTGTGGGAGGGCACATGCCTTTAATCCCAGCACTCGGGAGGCAGAGGCAGGTGGTTCTCTGTAAGCTCGAGACCAGCTTGGTCTACAAGAGCTAGTTCCAGGACAGCCTCCAAAGCCACAGAGAAACCCTGCCTCAAAACTCTCTTGCCTCAAAAGAAACAAACAAACAAACAACAAACAAAACCACTGTTCTTCTTGTCCCTGGCAGTTCATATAAGAGCCTGATTTTAAGGCAGGTGTGGTAGCTTGCACCTGTAAATCCCAGCATTTGAGAGGCTGTGACAGCAGTGTTGCCAGGAGTTTTAGGCCAGACTGAAGTGCATGTGGAGTAGTTCCCTCTCGCCCCAGCCTGTCAGGAGCTGGTAACTGCTGCACAGCTTTCCTTATGGTGTACATTTATTGATGTCCTAAGTACCGTGCTGGCAGCTTGTGACAGAAGTGTCAGTGACATAGAAATTTTGACCTGATGTGTCGGTTGTGGATCATGTTAGTACATAAACTGATGTCAGTCTGCTGGGGTAAGGTACTGACATCTCACAGTAAAATGAGGATGGCCCTTGTGACCATCACAGAGGAAAATCGGCATACTGCCAGCAAACAGCCAAACAGCATATGAGGATGCCACCTCTTGGTAGTCTTCTGTTGTGTTGAAAAGGGCCCTGAAGATAGTTTTACAGATAGATAAAAGAGAAAGCTGACTTTCATGTACTTTACAAGATTTGTAGTTTCTTATCCACAGAACTCAGATATTACTAGAGTCAGTAGCCATTTGTCTTTCTAAAAACTCCTTCGAGCTGGGAGGGCTGGTTCATGCTTGTAAGTACTTGGGAGGCTGAGTCAGAAGGACATAGAGTTCAAGGGTTACACACATACACTCGAAACAATTGTGTTAAGGGCTGGAGTCATAGTGAGCTTCCACTGTCAACCAGACACAAATCTAGAATCATGTGGGATGAGGGAACCTCACCTGCAGATTGTCCAAATCAGATTGGCCTGTGGCCATGTCTGTGAGGCATCTTCCTAATTGCTAATAGATGGAGGAAGAGCCAGCCCAATATAAGGGGTGCCATCCCTAGGCAGGTGGGCCTGGGCTGTCTAAGAGTACCTGAGCAAACCAGTAAGTAGCATCCTTGGGGATTCCTGCTTCTGCTTCCATTAATGGTGCACTGTAACCTGGAGAGTAAAAGGAAGTGAGCTTTAGTGTTTTAGCACAGTCATGGAGGTGAAGACTAGGACAGCTGGCGAGATAGGTCATGGGTTAGTGCTTGCCACCCAAGTGTGAGAACCTGGATTTGAATCCCTAAAGCCCATGTAAGAGTCAGATATATAACATTGGTGTCCTAGAGTGTCTGTAATCCCAGCACTCCTCCAGAGGTGGAGGCAGGAAAGTCCCTGGAACTTGGCAGGACAGCTGTCCTGGCTTGTGCTGTGGGAAGAACAACAGAGACCTGTGTCTCAAATGACGATAGGTGAGTGAGATCAACACTGGAGGTCGTCCTCACTCAGACCTCCACAGCAGGCCATAGCAAGTCCACACATTCACACACGTGAGTGTGCACACACATCATTGAATTACTTATATTTGTTAGAAGGTTCTCTTCCTAGTAAAAGTTTTCAACAGAAATGTATATTTTAATCATTTTTGTGCTTTAAGTGTGTGACTTGCTTTTATATTTTCCCCCCACAGATTTCATTATTACTGTTGTGCATTTGTGGGGGAAGGGCGCAAACCCGCCCCAGTTGCAACACAGGAGTGAAAGCACAGCTTTTAGGAGTCAGTTCTTTCCTCCCAAGGGTTTCTAGGGATTGAACCCCAGCTGTCAGGCCTCCTACAGAACTTTTAAAAGTCCAGTTGCTTCTTTTTGTGTTTCTTTTTTTTTTTTTTTGCCTGAGATTGTAAAATTACATGTAGTCACGTATTAATTTTGTAGTAAATCTATTATTATTTTCTTCTAGGAAGGTACTTCTCTGTTATTTTACCACCTCCACCCTTATCACAGGGATATAACACTTTGCCATATAGTTTAATAGCAGACATGTTACATTTATAACT